TATAAAAAAAAACTACGCGTTATCGCCGCGTTCAATGGAGGATAACTGGCCAACAATTTGACCAGATCAAGGTCCCTCCGCCAGATAACACGCCGGTTAATATCCGACAAAGACAAGAACAATCCTAAAAGTGGAGAACGATCAACTTCTTGCTTCTACATCGGATCCCGCAAGATCAATCCGCAAAGAAAAGTTAAGTAATCCGTTGAATATCAAGGGCCTCGCATGAGATTAAAAGTCGCGCGAGAAAATGTGTTCTTCCATTATTAAGAAATACATTTCTTTATTGAAAAATAAATGGATATAGCAATTTTTATGGAAATGTGGTTACAAACGACTATATTTGTGGATAATGAAATACATGCACCTTTATCGTAGCTTGTATTAAATGTGCGAATACAAATAATTCTTGGGTACCAAGTGTTCGAGACGAATCGAATCCAATAACAGCAAAATTAAAAAAATTTAATTTGAATATTTTGCAAATATACATATAAAATAAATCAAAATAATATGAAGCATAATTAATTCTAAGTTATAATTAATCTTTTTTGTAGCATTTAAATAGATTAATTTGTCGATATTTCACTGATATCGGGGTACCCATTCGATTTGTCTCGAAGTTTTAAAGTATATGCACATTTTACATTATATTCATACATAATATTTGTAACGTAATATTAAAAAAAAAGGAAAAATTTTATGAAATAGTATGTTAAATTGCGCATGTATTTTATTATATATATAATGGTATATCTAAAAACTATCCAAGATATGCACCTAGAATGGCGGGATGTCCAATACCTGCAAATGATTTCTTAAAATGTAGATAATTTGATACTGGCAGCATTTACATCCAAAAGTTCAATATTATATAAATTGACATACCAATATAATACATGTACAAATATATGTACAAGTTTTAATCTCTAATAAAATAAAATGTGCTATATATTTATTAAATTTTGTTACATAACAAAAAAGAATGTTAGTTTTATTTACATAATAAATATAAATGCAATTTTTAATTTATTAAAAAAAGATATATGTGTATATATTTTTAAAATTTGTTATAATTAATTTCAATTTTTCTACAGTTTAATTTTTAGTTTAAATTGTAGAAAAATTAATAATTTTTAATTTTAATTTTTTAATTTTATTTGGTTCTAACAGTCCTAACCCCTACTTTGCTGGCTAAGCCAGCGGGAATTCGTGATTATCCAAATTTGGGGGAGAAATTTGTCCTAACCGCGTGCCCTACTCGCGTGTCCTATTCGCGTGCCCTACTCGCGTATCCTATTCGCGCGTCCTACTCGCGTGCCCTACTCGCGTGCCCTAATAGAATGCACCGTATATTGCTTCCGTTGGGCCAGTTGAACCTACCTTTTGTTGATCCTGGCCATATTCATTCTGGCTACATCTTGCCAGAGATACAACTTCGATCTCTATCAGAGGGTAATAAAAGAGGAAAATTCCTTCCGTTGCCGGCTAATTATTATCACCGGTGCATGAGCGTAATTTTACGCTTTTTTATGGTCGTGAAACATTACGACCGTTTTTCATGCATTGTTTTAATATAACTTTACTTTAATTAATATAATGCCAAATTACCAAATTATATTAATTGATTGAATTCTTATAATAATATCAAAATTAATTGATTGAATTCTTATAATAATATCAAAATTAATTGATTGAATTCTTATAATAATATCAAAATTAATTGATTGAATTCTTATAATAATATCAAAATTAATTGATTGAATTCTTATAATAATATCAAAATTAATTGATTGAATTCTTATAATAATATCAAAATTAATTGATTGAATTCTTATAATAATATCAAAATTAATTGATTGAATTCTTATAATAATATCAAAATTAATTGATTGAATTCTTATAATAATATCAAAATTAATTGATTGAATTCTTATAATAATATCAAAATTAATTGATTGAATTCTTATAATAATATCAAAATTAATTGATTGAATTCTTATAATAATATCAAAATTAATTGATTGAATTCTTATAATAATATCAAAATTAATTGATTGAATTCTTATAATAATATCAAAATTAATTGATTGAATTCTTATAATAATATCAAAATTAATTGATTGAATTCTTATAATAATATCAAAATTAATTGATTGAATTCTTATATAATAATATATAATTT